ATTCTCGAGTTTTATAAAACGATTCTCGAGTTTTATAAAACGATCTTTGAGTTTTATAAAACGATTCTCGAGTTTTATAAAACGATTCTCGAGTTTTATAAAACGATTCTCGAGTTTTATAAAACGATTCTCGAGTTTTATAAAACGATCTTTGAGTTTTATAAAACGATCTTTGAGTTTTATAAAACGATTCTCGAGTTTTATAAAACGATTCTCGAGTTTTATAAAACGATTCTCGGGTTTTATAAAACGATTCTCGAGTTTTATAAAACGATGCTCGAGTTTTATAAATCGATCTTTGAGTTTTATAAAACGATCTTTGAGTTTTATAAAACGATTCTCGAGTTTTATAAAACGGTATTAATCATTTTATAAAATGATTTTGCGGAAGATAATGACTTTATCTTTTACAGAAGCTATCGCAGACGTTGATTTCGAGATTACGATTTTCGACACCAACAGTGATGTAGTAAGTTAAAGATTTTGTAAGTCCCTGCTGTTTTCAAACCTCTTTCAGAGAGACGGCATGTTGTTTTGCTTGAGGAAAAACAAAAGGGTAAGTTTGGGGGAGTTGATATACCATAGATTTAATTCATTATTAGCCATGGTATATAAGTGTTTTAAGATATATTTATTATGTTTTCGAGTATTTTTAGAGTATTTACAGGTTCAGGTATGTTCTGGAGAAATATGGTGATTTTGGTGTCTTTTGGAGCTCTTTGAGTACAAAACTGCATAGACGCATCATATGTTTAGTTATGGATGGAGACTTTTCCACCGTTAGATTTTGATCATCTTTTGTCACACGATAGAGCTTTGAGTTAGCTTTCTAATGCCACCGGTTTGAGGTCAATCAGCATCATGTAGCAGACGTTATGCTCGTTTTACTGAAGAGTGATCGGTCTGCCTCGCGAGAGGAAGCTGTCGAGAAGATAAAGAAGAATCGATCGATTCAAAAAACTTGGTGTCGATCAATGAAGATTCCAGAACGCTGACCTGAAATCTTATTTATGTTATTTGCAAGCCATTGTTGTGGCTACGCTCTTTTAATTGTCTTGTTCTAAGTTCTAGGAGAGAACGGAGGAACTCCATAAGAGTACTCCTGTAAATCCTTTGATCTTTTGTTTCTTTAATTCTTTGTTTCTTTGATTCTTTGTTTGGTTTTATACTTTATCTATTTTATTCATCTATTCTACTATGATTTCTGTGACAAACTTCATGATAGAGTAGATCCACTTGTTAGGTTTAGGGTTTAAATAGGTTAAAGGGATTAGCCCCAACTATAGGATTGCTAGTTGTGATACTCATTAATAGGATGTTTTAATTGCTCATGGTTCCAGAGTAGCTAACTAGAAAAATTGAATCCTCGATTATTTAGGTTGGATTAAAGACATTTAAGTGATTCTAAATATCATGAACACATCCTTATTAAACTAAGATTTATTAGAAATATAATTGACACAATTTGATTTAGAAATCTTTAGTGAGTTTAGGTTAACTCGTGTGCATTGCTTGACCGGAGTCATCGATCTATCTTCCTAACAGAAATCTGTTGATGATGAGTTTAGTGTATCGGTCGATTTTTCTATAGATAATCGATCGACACTGTCAATCGCGACCATCTGGTCATTAGACTTATTTATTTGAACGTTAGTTTAAATAATTTGTTAATCAAGATAGTTAATGCTCTATAGTATCTCGCAAGCAAGCAACTGAATAGTTCCTATAGGATTATAATCCCAATACCTGAATAGAAAGCCTAGATCTAGCAATCATCCTTCCATTAAACAACTTCTTGCCAAGTTGAACAAGGAATTTTGTTTACTGTTTTATTTGTTGCCTGCTTTATTATTTATTTATTGTTTTTATTTGTTTACCTAGATTATTAATAACTGCTTAGATTTAATTGGTTCCCTAGCTCCTCGTGATTCGGTCTCTAAGTATTACAACTGAACCTCTTATTTGAGAGAGTAATTCACTCTTTAGGGTAGTTTGAATGATATCAATAGGCTACGGTACTTCTACCTTACTGTATCAATTACCCAAGGTCCTATTATCTCTAGATTTTGTATGTTGTTACCGAAGTATGGTGTCTATGTTGTAATAACTAGTACTGGGAATTATGATTTGCTAATTTTTTTCTTCAACTACCTATTTTTAGCATGTAAATAATTGATAATTATTTAATACTAACCTCTAATTTTAATTGTTTGATATTATTGGCCAACCTTGCTTTTCGACTATTGAATTATCTTCTCGCCATAGAAATAATCGGTTTATGTTTACAAATTTACATAAATACATTAAACTATTTTATAATTAAGAAAAAAAACAAAAACGTTTGCCATGTAATTTTTTTTCTTTAAATACTACCCCTTTATGTTTTCAGATTCATACTAATTTCTTTTTTTGTTCAAAAAATGAATAATCTCATTTTTTTCATGTCAGTTACTGCTATGTATATTGCATTGAGTGAAGCGCTACCACCAGTAAAAGATTGCATTTGCACGCTAGAAATTCAAAACAAACTTGGTTTTGGTCAGATTCTGGATTATAAATGTGGTAAGATCGTAAATTCAAGACCTCACGGCTTTTTAAAATTTAATGAGAAATTTAGAACTCGATTCATTAGTGTGGTCTCTAACACTTGGATTTGTTGGTTGAGTAAAGGACCGAAATCAGATTCTTATGGTTATGAATTGAAAATAAACTTACCAGCTCTGAAACCGCCATGTAATAATGAGTTGCACAAATGGATTGCTAAAAATGATGGAATTTACTTTGAGAGAGATGGAAAAAACCCTAAACTTGTGGGTAAATGGAGTAAAAATGTTCTTTAACGTGCTTTTCTTTCTTTGCTTTTTCTGTAAAACTAATAAATGTTTATGAAATTTGATTTTTTTTTTATCTTTTCAAATTTATCACCACACCCTGTAATAGAATATGTGCCTCATGTAATATGTTCTAAAGTCAGATCTACGCCATGTGTGGTTATTTTAATTTTATAATACTGTTTTTCTTAAATGTCATAAATTGATGATTGAATATGTAATTTAAAGTTTTATATTGAAGTAATTTATATTATTTTACATTTATATAATATTTTATGTTTGATACATGTTGTTTTTGGTATTGGTGCATCATCATCGCCAGGGGCGAATCTAGGATACGTGGTTATTTTAATTTTATAATACTATTTTTCTTATATGTCATAAATTGATGATTGAATATGTAATTTAAAGTTTTATGTTGAACTAATTTATATTATTTTACATTTATATAATATTTTATGTTTGATACATGTTGTTTTTGGTATTGGTGCATCATCATCGCCAGGGGCGAATCTAGGATACTAATGTAATGGGTGCACCATTAGTCATAAAATCAAAACTGTCTAATGTAGGTCTCGAACTCGGGTTTATTACGGGTGCACAACACTACTTTTCCACCTGATCTAACAGAGTTTGTATGCTTCTTTGCATGAAAAATACAAGATATCAAAAATATACGGGTGCACAGGCCCCCATAATGCCCTACTTGGCTTCGCCCCTGATCATTGCCCATAGGCTCACCAAATCTCTTGAGAACATAAAATCAATGTTCTATCATGCTTTAACAAATTGAACCAATGGAAATGTTACACTTGCATACATATATATATATATATATATATGTGTGTGTAACATTCCTGTTTGTGATATATAAAAATATTTGGAATAGTTATTTAGAACGGAGTTTTTTATGCTTAATAGTATTTATATTTGTAATTGTTGTAATATAAAATATATTTGTTATGTTTAAATATGAAATAAAGACTAAAATAGAACAAATTCAAGTTTTTGTCCCCAAACTAGCATCCAAGGCTAAAAGTCACAAAAATAAGTTTTATTAAAGAGATGATTTACCCTTATGCCCATTCCTTGATTAATTGAAAAACAATAGATTAATAAATGATTTATCCTTATGCCATTTTTTTTATACTAATTTATTCCAAAACCCTAAACTATGAAATTACAATTCTAAACCTTAAACCTTGAAATTTCCACTCTAAACCCTGAAATATCAATTTACAACCTTAAATCTTGCAACTTCAAATTTAAACCATAAACCTTAAAACATCAATTCTAAACTCTAATCACTGAAACTTCAACTATAAACCTTAATTCTGAAACTTCAACTCTAATCCCTAAACCCTGAAATATCAACTCTAAAACCCTAAACCCTTAAACTTCAACTCTAAACCGTAAACCCTGAAACATCAACTCTAAAACCCTAAAACCTAAAATTTTAACTCTAAATTGAAACATCAACTCCAAAACATTAGACCCTGAAACTTCAAATCTAAACCCTAAATCCTGAAACATCAACTCTAAAACCATAAATCCTGATGTTTTACTTCTAAACCTTTGAAACATCAACTCTAACAAACTATAACCCTAAAACTTCAACTCTAATCCCTAAACCCTAAATATCAACTCTAAAACCCTAAACCATGAAACTTCAACTCTAAACCCGAGACCCTGAAACATCAACTTTAAAACCCTAAAACCTGAAACTTCAACTCTAAACCCTAAAACATCAACACTAAAATCTTAAACCCTGAAACTTCAAATCTAAACTCTAAATCTTGAAACATCAACTCTAAAACTATAAAAACTGATGTTTTACTTCTAAACCACTGAAACATCAACTCTATAAAACTCTAACCCTAAAACTTCAACTCTAATCTCTAAACCCTGAAATATCAACTTTAAAACCCTAAACCTTGAAACTTCAACTCTAAACCCTAAACCCTGAAACATCAACTCTAAAACCCTAAAACCTGAAACTCCAACTCTAAACCCTGAAACATCAACTCTAAAACCTTCAACACTGAAACTTCAAATCTATACCCTAAATCCTGAAACATCAACTCTAAAACCCTAAACCTTGAAACTTCAACTCTAAACTTTGAAACATCAGCTCTAAAATCCTAAACCCTGAACTTCAACTCTAAACCCTACACCCTGAAAATCCAACTCTAAAACCCTAAACTATGAAACTTCAACTCTAAACCCTGAAACATCAACTCTAACACCCTAAACCCTGAAACTTCAACTATAAACCCTACACCCTGAAAATCCAACTCTAAAACCTTAAACTCTGAAACTTCAACTCTAAACCCTAAACCTTGAAAATCCAACTCTAAAACCCTAAGCCTGAAACTTCATCTCCAAACCCTGAAACATCAGTTCTAGAACCCTAAATTTTGAAACTTCAACTTTAAACCCTAAATAATTAATTCTAAACCCAGAAACTTCAACTCTAAATTCTAACCCTGAAATTTCAACTCTAAACCCTAAACACTGAAACACCAACTCTAAAACCCTACACCTTGAAACTTCATCTCTGAATTCTAAACCCTGAAACATTAAAGCTCAAACCCTAAATCTTCAAACTTCCACTTTAAACCCTAAACCTTGAAATTTCAACTCTAAACCCTGAAACATCAATTCTAGAACCCTAAACCTTGAAACTTCAACTCTAAACTCTAAACTCTAAACTCTGAAACTTCAACTATTAACCATTCTGAAACATAAAATTTAAACCCTACATCTAAACCATAAACCCTCAACTTTAACCCTTAATTCCCAAACTCTATATTTTTTCCAAAATTCAAATCCGAAACCCCAAAACTCTATATAGAAATTCAAAACAAACTCGGTTTTGGTCAGATTCTGGCTTATAAATGTGGTAAAATCGTAAATTCAAGACCTCACGGCTTTTTAAAATTTAATGAGAAATTTAGAACTGGATTCATTAGTAAAGGTGTGGTCTCTAACACTTGGATTTGTGGGTTGAGTAAAGGACCGAAAACAGATTCTTATGCTTATGAATTGAAAATAAACTTACCAGCTCTGAAACCGCCATGTAATAATGAGTTGCACAAATGGATTGCTAAAAATGATGGAATTTACTTTGAGAGAGATGCAAAAAACCCTAAACTTGTGGGTAAATGGAGTAAAATTGTTGTTTAACGTGCTTTTCTTTCTTTACTTTTTCTGTAAAACTAATAAATGTTTATGAAATTTGATTTTTTTATCTTTTCAAAGTTCTGTAAAACTAATAAATGTTTATGAAATTTGATTTTTTTTTTTTATCTTTTCAAAGTTATCACTCCACCCTGTAATAGAATATGTGCCTCATGTAATATGTTCTTAAGTCAGATCTGCGCCATGCGTGGTTATTTTAATTTTATAATACTGTTTTTCTTATATGTGATAAATTGATGATTGAATATGTAATTTAAAGTTTTATGTTGAACTAATTTATATTATTTTACATTTATATAATATTTTATATTTGATACATGTTGTTTTTGGTATTGGTACATCATGATCGCCCATAGGAAATGTTATATATTTGATACATGTTGTTTTTGGTATTGATAATATTTTATATTTGATACAATGTTCTATCATGCTTTAATAAATTGAACCAATGGAAATGTTATATATAAAAATGTTTAAGAGAATTAATTTGACTACTATGTTGTGGGAGTCGATTTCACCCTACTGTCAAATAAATCGTAAAAAAGGAAACTTCGGGAAAACCCTAAGTTTCCAGAGGAACCGGCTATCTGCAAGAACCGCACAACGAAAATAAGAAAACGATAACTTAGAATTTGAATGAAAATAAACGAAATAGAGAGCAAAGAGGTTCTTATTCCGAATCTGCGTTGAACTGGTACAAAGAGAGTAGCCGAAAACGTAAGAACTAGAAAACCCTAGTTGAGACGCAGCTCGCTAACAGAAAAACGGAAAGATTCCTAAATGCTAGTTTTAGTGGTGAGAGCTCTGAATTTCGTGTGTGCTTCTGCCCTAGACCTCCTCTTTATATACTCCTTGCCTTGGCTATCCGATCTTTCCATTTCGCCCAGATTTGACTAAATCGGGAATCTTCCATTCTTCTCGATCCTTCCTTTTCTTCTGCGGAAATATTCTATTTCTCTTCGAACCTTCCTTTTATCTTTAAACTTGACTTTTATTTTCTTTCTGCGAGTAAACCGTCAAAACGTTATAAAATCTGCGGGTTTGATTCCGTTGAAATCGCGAGATGAGTTTTTATCGCGTTTTAGGTCCTTCCGGGCCGTTTTGCGATAAAAACCGTTTTCCGACTTTTAGGGGATCGTTTCCCGATCTGACGTCGTTTTTAATAAATTTCTCGAGTTAATCGCAAAGTTTTATGATTTACTCGACTTTTTATTAAAAACACGTTTTTTTACGACTTACTCGGCGTTTTTTATTAAAAGCGCGTTTTTTAAGATTTCAACGAGAAATCTCGAATAAATCGTATAGTTTAGGCAATGTTCGGTGTTTCGTTTAACCGTTGCCGTTTTATACGATTTCTTCGAGTTCTTTCCGAGAAAACGAAGTTTTACGGTTTTTATCGTAAAACTCGAACGGTAAGTCGGATCGAGATGGAACGGGAGATATTTCGGCCGTGGTTTAGAAAACGATCGTGTCGAAGGACGTATGCCTTGAATCAAGGATGTGGGAGATCGAGGCTCGGGATGGTCGGCTCGACGTACGGCGAGCTAGTTCAGCTTGGCTAGGTCGCCATATGGCGAACTAGGCGAAAAGAACCAGTGGGGCAAAGTCAGCACCTCTTAGTTCGCCCATTGGCGAACTAGTTGAGTGTTTCTTAGTTCGCCCATCGGCGAACTAAGCCGGGCCGGCTTAGTTCGCCGATGGGTGAACTAGTTGATTGCTCCCTAGTTCGCCCATCGGCGAACTAAGCCGGGCCCGGCTTAGTTCGCCGATGGGCGAACTAGAGAGTGACTCTTAGTTTGCCCATCGGCGAACTAAGCCGGGCCCGGCTTAGTTCGCCGATGGGCGAACTAGAGAGTGCTTCTTAGTTCGCCCATCGGCGAACTAAGCCGGGTCCA